TCCACTCAGTCCTATTACCATTATTAAGTAGCTGTAGAGACCAAACCTTACCGGGCCCCTACACAGTATGTTATTCGACGGATGTCGAGAGAGGAAGCCGGATAACTGGCGGCTAAAAAATTACCCATGGTCTCGAAAAAACAAGAACAACAAACACAATCCGTGCCTTAGCTTTTCTCATATCTGCAGAATATTTTTCTGAGGCGGCAGTCAAAGCCGAGCTGTTCTTTCGATTTAAATGATACGGACAATGAGCTTTCTCTTCGTAGCTAACAAAAATATGGACAATGTTAAAGGTGCTTTGGCCTCTTCTAATAGTTAACTTAACCCTTTGACGCCCAAGTAGCCATATACGGCCACTTAATGGTCGTGCTCTTTGTACCACTTGTGACGTCATCATTTTAAACGTCACCAGATATTATTGATAAGCAGATGGTAGTACTTGGCTAGGCCTTACCTTACAATGGTCAGGTTTAGATATCGACGACATTCCGACGTCGCAAATCGAAAATCAACGTTATCAGTTTTGGTGCCTGAAAAACGGTGGTAAAATGGTCCACTATGCCTATGATTGATCAAGGTCTATTTCTAAGCTTCGCCCATAATTAACATGCAACTTTTCACGGCAGCCAGAAAGAATATGCAACACAAAAGGTAGCCAGAGAAAAAGGACCGAGAAAAATTTTAGCTTATGCGCATGCCCAGAACTGAAATATTGCTTAATTTTGTACCTAATTCTCGAAAAATCTCTCCTTTTGGGAAAAAAAAAAACTTTCTTGGCAAAACTTAGGCTTATTTAGCGTCATGGCAGCCAAAAAATGTGACTAAACGGTTAAAGACGGTATTTTTTGGCGAAAGTTTGGTATTCAAAGAGTTAAAAATTCCGTGTTTAATTAAACCTATCCATTCCAACGTAATATGCCAATTGAACCAATGGGAGAATGACTGTGCACTTCTCACGATTCTTTGATTTTTAATGAAAAAGTCTGGCAACCGGGTTACATTCGGCCGGCACAACCTGGAACTGAGAGCAGGAAATGTTCGAAATGTCTTCAGAAGTTCATTTCAGCTCATTATCATTTGAGGGAATGTCAAACATCGGAGACTTAGTTTTTTAGTACTTGTTGGCAAACAGCTCCAACTTGAGTTCGCCTGTAAGACATTGTTTGCATGTCACTTTTCAGGGATGGAGGTCATCTTGCTAGAGCGAGTAAAATGTCATACCATAGGGCAATAAAAGGAAAAACCACAATAATGTTTGACATAATACCATCGATTATCTCCCATTCCCTCAAAGAAATTGCAATTGAGTTTCAGTAATATTATGCAAAAGCCTAACTTTCTAACCCTTAATTAGAAAGAGTTTTTGTTGACATCTTTAAGAATACACTATAGTAAATATATTGAGCGTGAAAAAAATCAGGTTGTGTACAAAACCTCGATGACCATTCATGTCTTTACATCTCTCTTCGCAGTTCAAATACCGTATGAAGTCAAATATAATTCGATTCGCGTACGGTAATCTTCCTAAGGCCGCTCCTTTCGGGTGGGTCGTTACTTTCGGGGGAACCGTTACTTTCGAGATTCAATGGGAAAGCAAAAAATTAACGTTTCTTTTGGGGAGCCGCTATTTTCGGGGGGACCGTTACTTTCGGAATTCTACGGTGTATGATCTTTCATATAATCATTTGCTTATAGATACATTCATACATTACTTTATTTTGTCTCGAATTTATAGTGTAGCTAACAAGCTATATCTTCGTAGAAATGAAAATTGTAAATATAAAAACAACAAGTACTACTACCAACTATTATGTTTGACCACATTACAAAAATAAATAATTATTGTAGAGGGTCAGTGTGGTAATCAGCAATCCTGCCTGAAAAGAGACTGTTTTCACGAGGCGTTTAACTGAAACAAAGTAGGCTCCGTTCTAAAACCAAAGTACGCTCCGTTCCAATGTTCTCAGGTAGAGAGTTCCAAGTTTTAATACTTAAAAGAGTGAAGACCATAAGAAGTGGAAGCAGGTTTACACAATGAAAATATATCAGGTCCTCACAGAGAGTAGACTGTAAACGC